AAATTGACTGTGGTTATGGATGCATATAACTGTGAATGTAATGAAAGCCACTGAATTATATGTACGACATGTAAACTATATCTCAATAAAGCTGTTAAAAAAAACAGAGGAGCATTCTTCCAAAAACAACAAGTTCAGAAGCAATATGAGTATTAAGCACAGGTCATGGGAATAAAACACTAGGCCAAACAGTGGTAGTAAGCTATTGTTTTTGCTAGTCAGTAGCTTTCAACCTTCTTTTTGTAAAACTGCATCTTAAATTTTGTAAACTACACCCTCTGACCCTCATGTTTTGAGTGAAGTTGACCTCATTTTCAGCCCCACAGGTGGGCAATAGGCCTAAATAATCAGCAAATCTTTCTCTTGGCTACTGTGATTGTTTCAGGGTTGGGAAAATGACTAATCCAAAGGGAGTTCCTGGGAAAGAGTAAGGTTTTCCTCTCCCACTAGAAGAGTTTCTGCCACCAACTACACAGCCTGACAATGTAACTAATACTCAGAGAGTAGACCTAAGCCAAGAGACAGAGATAAATTGGATATTGGTGACATAAACAGAGTTCTGATCAAGCCATACCTGAAGACAAATATACATCTAGAGCCAAACATTCACCTTGCCCTTAGGCCAGGTTGAATAGGGTAATCTGTCACTGTCAAATTAAAGGATACTAACTGATATACATACTATTGCATATGCGTGCACACACATACGTGTACATTTATACAAGACAATTTTAAAAATACAAGATGTTTGCTGTCAGGACAATGAAACTTGCTAAAAACCACAAGAAAAAACATAATTTATTTGAAAATTATACCTGTGCTGCTACAGTAGCTTTCACTTTATCAACTCAGTTCAAGTGCAAAACCACCACCACCTAGTAATCACAACATATAGAATTATTGCAGAAATGAATTAAAAATTAACTCACCAGAATTAGAGGTGCCACTCTCAGTTTACAATCAGATCAATATGGAAACAAGTGGGGATAGGAAAAAAAAACAAAATAAAACAGAGACCTAAGAGCTTGTCTTATATAATACCTATGTTTAGGTTAGTAACAGTTCAATAAAGATATGTATTTACAGAACAGACAAATATGGTAGTTATTGTCTGATTTGAAGAGGCTTCAATAGGGTCCTTTTGACTAACAAATACATTGCCAAATAGCCTCACTGCCTGAAATCAATGAATAACTATTTATGCTGCATGTCTAATTTTGATAAAGCATTGTGATTAAGTACCGTCAAAGAAGTGCAAAGCATTCTTCTTGTTCTCAAGGAGCTTATAGCCTAGAATGGGAGATAGGAAAATACATGTACACACATGCTCATAAAAAGAACAATGATAGTATAGATATCATGGAGTTAAGAAAATAGAGATATTACAAAATACTCGTATGAGTACTTCAGGAGTTAAGAAAAGGAGGTCAATATGGGCTGGAATACATAGCAAGCAAACTCCTGATGACCCCATATATGAGATACATTTAGAAAAAGGGATAGGATATGGTTAAGTATTGACAAGATTTGACCCTATTCTGAATAGGACAACCTAAGCAAGGTCAAGAAGACACAGAACTGACTATAACAGAATTTTCACTTTAGAGAAACTAAATTGCAGAGATTAAGGAGTCAGATTATGGATTGTTTTAAATGCCAGAAGGGAAGTTTAAACTGATTATAACAGAAATTAGGAAATAAAACAAAGTTTTAGAATAAAAAATGATGTGATAAAAGCTGAGTTAAGCAACATAAATTTAATAAAGAATATTACATGAGTGGGCAAGTGAATGTGTGTTGGGGAAATTCATTGTGATGTTGTAAAAGTCATTCAGTCACAAGATGACAAGGGCCTGCACTAGGTTGGTTGTTGTGGAGAGAAGATGGGATGAATATGGCTGGAATTTCCAAAGTATAATGCATAAAACTTAGTAGCTATAATAGATGGAGATTTAGGATTCAGAGCCCCCAAAAATACAATAGGAAAAAGTAAGATAGCTTTATGGTTCAAGGCCTAGAAAATAGGAACAATAGCAGGTAACTGTGCAGGGCTGAAATCCAGGCATAGACTGGCTGCATTCTCAGCTGGAACTCAGGTTCCTTGTCCAAGCTCATTTCTTTTATTAGAAGAATTCAATTCCTTGTGGTTGTAGGACTGAGGTCTCCCATTTTATTGCTCTCTGTTGGCCAAGTACCACTCTCAGCAACTAGAGTCCACTCTCAGGTCTTTGCCCCACAGCTTCCTCATCTCAGCAACAGAGAACCTTCTTCACATGAAATCCATGTCACTCTTCACAATTCTCTCACTTTTCCTGCTACCAGCTACACTCTATGCTTTGAAAGAACTCATGCAATTAGATTAGGCCCACATGGACAATCTCTAATCTTAAGGTCAACTGGTTAGTAACCTTAATTACATCCACAAAATTTCTTTTGCCATGTAAACTAACAATCCAATAGTAACATCAGGAGTTAGAGATCATAGGGACCATCTAAGAATTCTGCCTACTGGTACATTCTATGATGCAATCTGAGAATTTATTTCTTATAGTAGATGAGTATATTAACAAGGATTTAGTTCAGCTCTAAATGACAGAAATTTGTTTCTTAAACAAAACACAAAGTTATTTCTCTCATGTAAATATAGGAATCGGTAGTTCAGGATTGGTATGGCAATTTCAGTCATTAAATCATTAATGACTCAGGTTCCTTATATTTTATTGTTCTTCAATCCTCAACACATATTTTCCATCTGTGACCCAAAACGACTCAGATACCACCATTCATATGTATTCCAGCTAGTGGAAGGGGAAAAAGAATTGGAGGGGCAAATAACCTTTGTCTTTAAAATTATTTCCTAGAAGTTGTACATATCTTTTCTTCTCCTATTCTATAGGTCACAACTTAGTCACATGACCAAATCTTCATGTAAGAGCCCCTGGAAAATTAAAGTTTGTCTGTCCTGGTGGCCAGAAGCTTAACTGACATTTGTAGGCTCTTTAATAAGTAAGAAACACGTAATAGACATTGAGAAAAACTATCTGTCTCTGTCACAGTGTGTTTACCTTATTAACAATTATTAATATGGCTGCTTTTTGTGCTTCATTATGTTACATTTCATGTTTTCAATATATTTTATTGCTTCATTTCTCTTCATTGATATGGTATATATTTTCTCTATTGTGTGTATTATGTGTGCATGTTTCTTCTGCTAATGTGGAAATTCTGTGTTCCGTTTTTTAGTTCTACTAGTACCTACTAATGGTTACCTTTGTAATTACAGATTTATAAAATATTATACATATATTTTAATTTATTCATGCTTATAAAACATCTTATTTTTTAGCTAGTATCCAGGGTTGGTATTACGGAGAGGCAGCTGAGGCTTCTAGGACACAGAATTTAACAAGGTACTCTTTTGTGCAAGCATAGTGTTGGCACCTGAGATTGGATGCCTTAAATTTTGTGCCCTAGAAACCTTTCTTATCCCACATTTCATGAGTTCTTTTTTTTTACTCCAAGGACTTTGTAGGCACTGATTCACTGTCTTCTAGTTTTGTTTTGTTTTATACATTTTTAAAATTAGTTTCAGGTGTACAAAACAATGCAATAGTTATACTTTTTGCCCCTCAAAAAGTGACAACCCCTCTCTCCCAATCCACGGCCCTCCCGACATCATACATATCTATTACTATTCCACTAACTCCATTCCCCACACTGTACTCCACACTCCGTGACTATATATATTAAATTGTAGTTGACATACAATATTATTCAACTTCAGCTTCAGGTGTGTAGTGCAGTGGTCAAGACTTTACTCCTCCCATGAAGTGGTCTCACTAAAAAGACACGTGTCCTTCTGACATCCTACAAAATATTTACAACATTATTGATTATATTATCCAGACTGTCTTTCATATCCCTGTGGCAATATTGTAGTTACATATTTATGCTGTCTAATCCTTTCCCCTTCTCCCTCATCCCCACCCCCTCCCATCTAGCAATAATCAGTTTTTCCTCTATATCTCTGAGACTACTTCTGTTTAATTTGCTCATTTATTCAGTTTTTTAGATTCCACATATAAGTGAGATCTTATGGTATTTGTCTTTCTCTGACTGACTTATTTCACTTAGCATAATGTTCTCTAGGTCAATCCATATCATTGCAATTGGTAAGATTTCATTCTTCTTTATAGCTGAGTAATACTCCATTGTATAAATGTACTGGAGTTTTTTAATCCAGTCATCTACCAATGGGCATTTCGGTTGTTTCCAAGTCTTGGTTATTGTAAATAGCACTGCAATTTTCATAAGGGTGCATATATTTTTTCAAATCAGCATCTTGGGTTTCTCTGGATAGATACCTAAGAGTGGAGTAGTTTCAGGGCTGCCTTATATATTCTTACTTGTTTTGCCTGGATGTGCTAAACATTTTTGAACTTCAGTCACTTTACCAGGATGCGTTTCAATTTGATCATCTTTTTAACACTTTTTCTGGAATACGTCATGCTTTTTCAATCTACAAATTCAAGTCATTTAATTTCTAAAATGTTTTCTTGAATTATATCTTTGTACAATATATATTTTGTTTCTTTTGTTTGGTTATCTACTTTGGAAATAACATTTGCACTTAGATTTGGATCTCTTTTTCCCATCTCATAGAATTGATTTTCTTTCTCTCTTTAAAACTATTTATAGGTCAAATAAAAACCTATCTGTTTATTCCATTAATTTCCTTTGCTTTTCTCTGTTCTGTTCTTCATGTCTTACTCTATATTTGGAAGTATCTGTTCTGCTTGGTGCTGCTTCCAAGGTTTGCTTTATGATCATGATTATTTTTCTTTCTCCTTTGTTGCTTTCTTGATCTCCATTGTCTTACATTTTATTCCTTTCTTTTGTTTCTTATACAATGTCCTTTCAAGGCAATATGTACATTTTTAAAATTTTAAAGTGTTTTCTATAATCACATGATTATGACATTCACATTAAAACATTTGTAATTGAAATTTATTTTATGTACAAAGAGCTAGCATTGTTTCTGCAGTAAGGTACACTTATTCCAACTTATTGAAGACAATATCCTTCACCCACTGATAGGAACACTGTCCACACATATTGAGGCGATATTTCTGGATCAGACCATGCCAGTTTGAGCAGATGCAGCAAGAATGAGAACCCTAGCCAAATTTTCATGGATGGCATCAGTAGAGTTGCTGGTGACCCATCATGCTCTCTTGGATGCAATGAAGCAAAAGATCATGGCAATATGTTTTGTTCCAATTTTTTTTCTGCTGGGGGACAAAGTTTGTCTGGTAAATGTTTATCTATCATTTGTTTTTCATATTCATTTATTTTTTGGGTTGTTCTTTGTATAGATTATGTTCTGGTTCCATTTAGACTACTATTCATCTTTGAAGGTTTTATTATTATTATTATTTTTATTATTATTATTATTATTATTTTTAGCTGAGCCATCCTGCCACCTTTTGGCAGCTCAGCAGCAGCTCAGCTTGGGCCGAGAATCGAACCGCTGTTGCTCAGAGCTCAAACTCTTGAGTGAGCTCTTAACCAACTGAGCAACTCGGCCGGCCCTGACTATTACTCATCTTTGAATGAGGTTAGTTCTTCTTAGATCAGCTATTAGTAGTAGGTTCATGTAGGGGACAGGCCAACATAGTGTTCCTGCCTAACAAAAATTCTCCCTCGTTCAGAGTGAACTCCTTTGGACATTGTGTGTGTGTGTGTGTGTGTGTGTGTGTGTGTGTGAGAGAGAGAGAGAGAGAGAGAGAGAGAGAGAGAGAGAGAGAGAGAGAGAGAGAGATGTTATAGCTTTTATTTATTTCCAGTCAACGAATATTGGAAGTTGTAGGTCTCTCTCCTCTATTATTCCTCAAAATAATTACTGCAAAGATGATGTATGTAAACACATGTGTTTTGTTGTTCAGACTTGAACGCACTTTGGTCTATGGAAGCTTCCAACAGGTTGTAGACACTATTCCCATTTTTCTGAAGGACTGTTGGTTTATTTTACAGTTTCAGCTGATTACTTTGGGAAAGTACGAGGTGACATAAAAAAATACAGTGAATGCTGCTGCCGAGTGCCATCCAATGGAAAGGCAGGGATCTTCAATACAAAAAGCTTCATGCCAAACCTTAGTAACAATGTGTGACAAGTTTTAACTTGTTCGGTGCAGTCAGTCAGGTGTGAACTATGTTGAGAGAAGGTGTGTTTTAAACTGTGCCATAAATCATCCTCCATCATGACAACACACTGTTTCTGGTATACGGCAATTTCTGTCAAATAAAAACATTATGATGTGTCCTCATCCAACTTATTCACCAGATCCGGCACCATGTGACTCCTGGCTTTTCCCCAAAGTCAAAATTACCATGAAATGGAAATGTTTTGAATTGATTCAGGACATCGAGGCAGACAAGACAGTGCAACTAAAGACACTCATGAAAGAAGACTTCCAGAACTGTTTTAGAAAGTGGCAAGAATAATGGGACAAGTGCTTTGGAAGCGAGGGGGAATATTTTGAAGGGGATTGATGGCAATGTGTCTTTTACTGCAATACATGTTTTTAATTTAAACAATCACTGTATTTTTTTTATCATACCTCATATCCTCTGCTTTGTCTAAAAACTTGTCATTTCTAGGCATCTCCTATACTCCTTGATCATTATGGTACTTGACAATCTTTATACATTCATTATACTTCATACATAAAGCTATTATCCTTGCTGTATTTGGATAATTTCAGAGAAGAGAAAGGAAAGGATCAACTTACCTCTGCCATTCTAAAAATGTAAGTAACCTCTAGATTTTCCTTATGCCAAAATGTTTTTTTTCTCTGTCCATGTGACAAACTACTACTTATCCTTTAAGTGTTAACTCAATTATCACATACTCTGTGAAGTTTTATCTGACTTCCTAGAGATAACTTAAGGCATTCTTTCCTTTGTGTTCTCATTGTATGTTGCACACAATTAAAATATAGGACATATTATATTTAATTGTAATTGTTTGCATATCTGTCTTCCTACCAGTGTGAATTTTCTAGGTCAGGCACTGTGATTTATTGGTCTTTTTATTTCCACAACTTGCTTGACAGATAGTTGGTGTTCAATAAATATTGTTGAATTAGTGAATGAATCCCAATCCGAGTTTTGCAATGCCATAAGATTGGTTTTTCTAAAGTACAAACCTTATAACATTGACAAATAAATTGGTGGCTACACCTTTTCAGGAGAAAAATATTCAAACTCTTTAGCATGGAATATAAGGTTCTTGCAAACTGCCCCAAATTATCTATAAATATTATCTTTTATCTGACTTTGTTAACATGCCATCACTTAACTGGACTCAATTTCTTACAGACATGCCCTTTAATGAATCTGGGTTAATTCACATACTGTTCACTCTGCCCAAAATGACCTTACTTTCCTTTTCTGCCTGGTGAATCTGTATTCAAACTTGAAATATCACTTTCCATGTGAAGCCTTCCCAGATTTACCCCAGGTTATTTTCTTCTCTGTGTTTTCATCGCATGTATTCTGCACATACATATTTATTATAAAACCTACTACATCACACCATATTTATTTCTTTTTATACTCCCCCACTCTGCACACTGATTGTGAACTTCTCAAGGTCAGGGGAAATGTCTGTGCATTTCTAGGTCCCCAGTCTTTTGCACATGGTAGGTGCTTGACAAATGCTTGTTGAATAAATAAATTAATAAAAACTAGCATATGTTTTAACCTTAAATTTTAAAAAGAATTTTTTTTCCTTATACCTTCCAGACTCTTCAAATGACTTTACTCATTGAATCAATTCTGGACATAAATAATGACTTCTAGAAATCATTTGATGAGGTTGCTCTTATAGAACTGTTCAACTGCTTGGCACTTGCCTACTGACTTACATTTGAGTTTCTCCAAGTGTGGTTTATTTCAGTAATCTTAACTAATGAATTGGATTGACCATACATTGATCCAATCAAACCCATGGTGATTGGCTGTCTTGACAATTAGAGAAAAATACTGATCTCATTCTGGTCAATTGGCCTAGTTGTATACAAATAGGCTAATAATGCTGAAAGAAGTGCCAATTTTATCAGCACCATTAGGTCAAAGCTTGTAAGCAAAAGGCCTGTGACTACATTTGCTTTTAATCCTTATCTCCTTCTCCACTCCACATATCTATTCTATAACAGTGCCTTCCTCACAAAGGGAGTTTAAAAATGTTCAGTAACTTCAAAGATGTCACAAAATGGTAACAATGCTTCATGTAATATCCAAAGTAAAGCAACAAATTGATTCTTATCTCTTTTCAACTCACTGGTACATGCAGCATGCTACTAATTATATAGGGCTATATAGTCACAATGGCTTGGTGTATAGCAGATTAAGATTGCAACTTTTATACTTAATAGTCCAATCATGTATGCATAATTCATATTTCTATTTTAGAAGATGTTTTACAGATGAAATTTCTATTTTGAACCAATAAAACTAAATTTAACTCAATTTCTTACTAAAATCACCTCTTTTGTAAATACGTCCACCATTTTTAACTTAATGTTTTGGCTAGAGGTACCAGGGAATTTAAGTATTTCTGGAATCTAGATGAGCAATTAAACATAAGGCTTCAATTCGGTATGGGGTACATTATGTAGAAAAACATTTAGTGGGCCGGCCAAGTGGCACATTGGTTAAGAGCTGGCTTGGAATGCCAGAGGGCACCAGTTCGGATCCCACATATGAGGGCCAATGACACTGCCCTCTACAGCTAAGATGCTGAACAACAGCTCAACCTGGAGCTGGGATGCTGTGAGTCGCCGGCGATGGCGTAGGCTGCAGCCACTGCTGCAGTGGGATGCCATGGGCTACAGTGAGTAGCCAGCAGCCAGCGTGAGTGGCCAGCAGCCATTGTGAGTGGCCATCCAGAAGCCAGCGACTGATCTGCCTCACCCGGGAAAAGAGCAATGATGGTGCCAACTGGGCCAGTGAAGCAACGTCCTCCACAAATAGTCTGAAGAACAAAAGGACAATAACTTGTCTGTTCCCTTTCCCCCAATTCCCCAGCGCTGTTCCCATCCCCTAATACCCCAATAAAAATCTTAAAAAAAAGAAAAACATTTAGTACATATACATATATTTCCCAAAATGTATAAAAAATTTGAGGCTTATTTCATTTTTCTTTTTTCTTTTCTTTTTTTTTTAGATTTTATTGGGGAATTGGGGAAGGGAAACAGCCAAGTTGTTGTCCTTCAGCCTTAGTTGTGGAGGGCACAGCTAGTTCAGCTCCAAGTCCAGTCACCATCTGGCCTCCCGTCGGTAGCTCAGGGCAGCTCAGCTCAAGGAGCTGTGTTCAATCTTTGTTGTGGGTGGGCATAGCCCACCAACCCATGCAGGAGTCGAACCGGCAATCTTGTTGTTAAGAGCATGTGCTCTCACCAGCTGAGCCATCCTGCCACCTGTTGGCAGCTCATCGACAGCTCAGCTTGGGTGCAGTTCACTGGCCCATGTGGGAATCGAACTGGCAACCCTGTTGCTCAGAGCTCGTGCTCTTAACCAACTGAGCCACTTGCCTAGCCTGAGGCTCATTTTTTTATTACTTTCGTAATAACTATTGAGGTGTAATGTCAATATAGTAAGATTTTAAGTTTTGCAAAACAAATGAGATAAATATAACCAGTAATTAAAATTTGTTCATAATGCACTATCTTGAGAAATGGTCTTTCCTGGAGTGTTTGGCTTTCTTATGTCCATATCCCTCTTGTGTTAATTTAAAATGTTATTTTATTATATCTGTGTTGGAAAATGTGACACTCAACACAACTAATTTAACAACAACAAGAAAGATGAACAAATTGCTGACCTAAATTTTCTGTCACACATTTCGCATATTTGTACTTCACACCAATCACATAGAGTAAGAGCTATAGGATAAAACAATTAAAAATCTTAAGAAATTAGAAAGAACCAAACTAAATACTTTTTTACTTCAAAAACCGTAAATTTTCCCCTTCCTGTAAAAGGGTATTAAGTTTGTATTGCACTACAAGTAGGTTTACCTTAAATAAAGTGAATGAGCAAAATTCACAAATTATGAAAATCATGAATTTGGGGGCAGAATAATTATTTGCATTATAATGGGACCTGATTTTCTAAAAGATTACTTTCTATACTGATCTCACACAGCAGGTAAAATTATGAA